CAGGATACGCCCTAATCCTGGAGCTGCCCTATTCCCAGCAGGATCCACCCTAAACCTGGAGCCACCCTAATCCCTGAGCAGGGTCACCTTTCAACCCAAAATGCCATGCGTCATTCCTACTTGGCTATGGCTCTCAGCACCAATCATTGGGGCTCTCATACAATTTATCCTCATTACCCCTAATACCTGTTTTCAGGAAATACTAGATCTGTTTTGGTCTCTTTAGTCTTATTTAGATTTAACAGTACATCCATTTTCTTAATAAATCTCCCACAACAGCCTCATGAAATAGTCTTAATGCTTTAGATATAGTCTGAACCCCACATCACAGTTAAGCAAACAGGATAATATGCTCAAGCCCACATAGCTCGGCAGTGGCAGAACCAAACCAAATGGGTTTTTGAATCTCCATTCCATCTCCTTCTACCTCATTGTTAATAGCCTGGGGTTATAGAAATTTACTCATGGACAGGAGACACATCCAATATTGATCAGAAATTATTGATAACCCAGGCTGGGAGAGATCTCCCAAGGAAAATGCTGCTTCCTTGTGGCCAATGATGAAAAGTTTCTGATAAAAATGCCTCTTTTCTTAAAAAAGCATTTTTACTTTTTAAATTTTATTTTATAGGTTCTTATTAGTTATACATGACAGTAAAAGCCATTTTGATAAAATTATACAAGCCTAGGTGCAACCATATCTTAGGCTTGGTGGCTGAGCTGTGGGGGACAGAAAATCCATTGCAAGAATGATTGACGTCTGCAGTTCTCTGGCTTTATCCACATGGAAATTCAAGGAGAGGGATTGGATAAAATTCAAGGAAGAGCTCCTCTCAGCTTAGGGTGTTGGGTGAGGATGAGATCGCTCCTCTGGAGTACCTTAAAAGGAGGATAGTTACTGTCCTGGAGGACTCTAGTTTCAGGTTCAGAGACAGAAGATATGTTGCCAACAGGAGGCTTGACTCCTTGAGAAAAAAGCCCTGGGGAGTCTTGGGTTTGAATCCTCACCCCATTGTTTTACTCTGATTTGGGCTTTTCACCCTTTTGTAGGCTTATCTGTGGCAGGGGAAAATTTATGATTGTTCCTAAGTTATAAGAGTGGTATAGGAATTAGGGGAGAATGCATGTATAAAATAACTGCTCAACAAATAGTAGTTACCCTCAGTAACAGAGTGGGACTAGCATTCGCGTTGACTCATGGACTCCTGGATAATTCAGGGTTCTTTTTACTAACACTTAAAGCTTCTGTCTAGGCAGGGTATAGGCAGAGTGATGGAAGCAATGATCCCTCTAGGATTGTGTTGGATCTATGCTTCTGAAATGCTCTTATTTCTTTTTTCATTAGCCTTCTTCTTCCACATCAAAAGAAACTACAAATACGTTGTATTCAGTTATACAGCCTTCCCGGAAGGTAAGTCTCTTCCTCCGTGTGGTGTGATTGATGCAGATGTGTATTTTGCATGTGCATACACAGGCATGTATTTGCAAGAGTGTGTGTGCATGCTACAGTGAGTGGTCCTCCACGGTGTGTATCTGGGTAGCTTCCATTCAATGACTGTGTTTCAATGTTAATGGGCCAATGAGGAAAAATGCCTTTAGGGTTCTGCCTTGAGGATAAGGACATCTTTGGACTCAGAGAATAGTGGATTATAGGATTTTCTAGGGCTTTTGTGGGATTCGAGGAACAAGGACAGGAAGGAGGTGCTTTGTGCAGAAGGACCACAGGGTCCTTAGTAGACCAGCTGAGGCTGTGGTGAAAGATATTGGAGAGATTTGTGAAGGAAGGACTTAGGACCTGCAGCTGGAGGGCTGGGTTAGGGGGAAACAATGCTAACTTTCTGGTCAGTCACCTGCTGGTGGAAGACTCTGGATCGCAGCAGTCATGTTCCACTCACATCCTGCTCCAAGCTGAGCTCATAGCTCTTGGGTGTATCTAGTACCTTGGAGCTGAGTTTCCTGATGCTCTGCTCATCCTTTTTACTTGGTATGGGAGAGGATGGGAAGAGTAGTGTTTCCATGGCTTCAATTGCAGTATGAAGCCATGAGCTGCTACGTGGTACAATAGGAAAATGGAAATCCACAGAACTGTGGGAGTCCATATAGGTTAGGGACTGTGTATTTGAAGGGATTTAGAATGGATATTCAGACTTCTTATTCAGCCTCTTTTCAATAAGTCATTCAACCAACTTGGACTCACCATGAGAGATTTTTAATTATATGCTACAACCAAGGACATCCAGATGCTCATAGGTACTCTGTTTACATGCTTTAGTATTATATTCTGAAAACGTTGTTTACATTATGGGAAAGTGTGTTGAAGAGATACATGGTTTGGGATGATAATTACATTAGGACTGTCTGAGGGATATGTGTGTGTGTGTGTGTGTGTGTGTGTGTGTGTGTGCATGTGTGTGCATGTGCCCTGGGAATGTGTGTTTGTGTGTGAGACTTAGGGGTCTTTGGGTATGGGATACTAAACTCTGGCTTTGGTTCAGAAATGTCATATCATAGGCCAGTATGTACTGTGCTTTCTGGGAGACCATTAATACCACTGTTTATTCTTGAGGTAGATTCTTTTCACTTTCTTGTTGAGGAAAGCTTAGGAGACTTCTCGGGTTTGAGTCTCTTGGAATTCGTTGTGTTAGTCAGGAATAGGACATCTCTGATGTCGAATACGTAATTCTTTGCTCTCTGAATTTCTAGTCCAGATGCAAGGAGAGGAACCATGACCCTTCCGTCAATAGCTCCATCTATGAAGAGGTAAGATTCTGGAACTCTTCCGAGTGGGTTTAGTGTCTATACCACAGCCCCGAAGACAAGCCATGAAGGGTGTACTTATGAAAAGGTCATCCATACAGTCTCATAGTCGTAGGATTGTAGGGGTTTTTAAATCCAAATCTTCATTTTAGAGATAAAGACATGAAGGTCCAAAGAGAGTGAGGGTCTCCCCCAATGTGACATCAGGTGTTCAGATCTGACTTTCAGCTTGTGTTCTAAATTAGGACTGTCCCCAAGCTAGTTCCCAGGCTATTGAGTACAAATTAGACATCTCCATTTAAAGGCTGCATGTGAGGGTGGGGTGGGAAAAATCCAGAGAGGGGAAAATAAGGAACTCTAAGTGATTTTCTAAATTAGCATGGCACTGGGAACCACTCTGGATGTGGATGATCTTCAGCTTCTGCTAAGGAAGACACTGTTTGAAGGTGACCACTGAGCCTGGTAGCTGAACTGATTCCCATCAGGCCATTTAGGGAGGAGAGAGGAGGAACTCGACAGTTCTTGGGGGATTATTATACATAAGACAATGTGCCATTGTCTTCACATGAACTATCTGATTTAATGCTCACAGGATGCTATAAGTTAGATATATTTTTTGGTAGAATTAGTGGTTGGTTGCATATACTAGGCAAGTGCTCTACCATGGAGCTATGTCCCGAGCCATTACCTTCACATTTATACCCAAAGAAATTCAGGCATGGATGTCACCTCTTCCTGTTAGCATCATGGCACACCCAAGCCTCCATCCATGACATGTTTTTGATTGCATTGGAGATGGCAGGCGGGTACTTTCTGAGATTCCTGGCCCTTCAGCTATAGTTTTATATTAAAGCCAACTGGACAGACAGTCCAAGGGTATAGAGGATACTGTGTGGGCCCAAAGTAATGTGGGGGGGGGGGGTTACAAAGAAGCACAGTGTAGTTAAAAGATCCCTGGAATTTTAGGAAGAAAAACTGGATTCAGGTCCCCTCTTTACTTCATGCTAGTCCTTGACCCTGCATAATTTATTTTACCATTCTGAATTTCATTTTCATAATCTATAAAACAGTGATAACAATTCATACACCATAGAGTGATTATAAGGATCTTCTGTTGGGAGGGTCTGAAATTTCCCTTTTTCTTCTGCAGGTTGGAGCAAGAGAGTCCAAAGCCCGTAACCCTGCCCGACTGAGCCGCAAAGAGCTGGACAACTTTGATATTTATTCCTAAATGCTGTAGCTCGTTAGGCCTTTCTTCCATATCCGCTTTGGTGCTGGGAATCAGCGGAATAGATGTTGCCACACACAGGAGTTTTTTTTTGTTTTGTTTTGTTTTTTTTTTGAAGAGTTCCTAGTCGGGAGAGGATATGAAAGTCTATTCGTGGTCTTTATTTTGTTTTGAAAATGATTTCTAACAGCCATGATACAAGCAAGGTTGTGAAATAATATCTCCCAACTTAGATACTAGACAAGAATGGGTGGCGAGGTTGGGTTGACCACATTCTGAGTACTTGTAATCTATCAAGTCATGTAAATGGAGGCTTGAGATTCCCTTGTCCTGGTTTTCTAACCTGTTACTTGTCTCTCATCCTCTCTGATCTGGGATGCTGGTCTAGACTGCATTTCTAGACCCTCACCTCACCCAGGCCTACCTACCAAGCAAAAACAGGCGACAGTGACTCAGGAGAAGAGGAAGCAGGCTCCTCTGAAGCTCTACTTTCTGTTTGCTGGCAAGCAGGTTCTCACAGGTGGACCAGCACCTAGGCTGCCACTTGAATGCAGGGGAAAAAATTTCTCCTACACCTTAACACATTTACAGTGGCCGGTTGGTCACAAAGGAAGTGGGCAGACACAAGAACAGAGGGTGATGAGAAGCAAACTCTTCACTGGAAAGAAAAACCACCCAAAGCCTTTCTTGAGAACTGGGCAGTTAGACCAGTTTTGTCCAAAGTGTAATTTTTGATTTACAAAGACATATTATTAGAAATCTATTTTGGCTCCTTTGTGGTAGAGGTCTGCCTCTCTTCTTGGAAAACCCATTCTATTTAAGTTCTGAGTCTTGATTAGTGTTGCCTTCCCACTGTATACCTTGGAGGAAGGGCTTGGGTACTTGGGTGCTAAAAGATGAGGCAGCTGGGAACCACATCTGTGCTGGGTGCCCCGAGTCTTTAGGCCGGCCCTCAACAAGGCTGGGACTCTGGATGAGTCCAGGAGAGGGGACTCAAAGACTACAGTAGGTGATAACTGCTCATAGCCTGGCTCTTCAATGTCCTACCCTTCATTTAAAATATGTGTTTAATATAAAAATTTGGTGTTACACAGAGGCAGCCTAAATCCTTTGCCTGGATTAAATCTGTGTATCTTCTCTACACTCTGCATTTGTACACTCTAAAGCAGTCAAAGGGGACTTATGGGCCATCTACAAACACATGTCTGTTTAATTCTGTTGGAGAAGGTTGTTACAAGCCATCCATGGGTTGTGTGTGTGAGCTATTGTGCATTGTAGCCAAATGAGGGGATAGGCCTGGCATTGCGGGCTCCATGTGATCAGGGAGTGATTGCATGATGCAGGTGTACCTGCCCCTCTAGCTCTGCCTAAGATACCACACAGCACCTCAGATGGGTGTGACTTGCCAAGATGTCAATCAATCTGCTGACCACAAGACCTCACGAAGCAAGACTCCACCCTTGAAGTCTTATCCCTGCCTCTGATGTCCCCGCTATAAAATAAAGGAAACACGGGCTCATGCTCTCTTTCCAGTGCTTTCTTTCCAGCATGGAAGCTGACCCTTAAGGTCACAGAGCCGTCCCGCCCTCCATTTGAAAAACTTATCTCTGTGTTGTGTGATTTTTCACCGCTTTCTTAGCTTAATGTTGCAGCCAAAACCAATTCCTCTTGTCTGCACAGGTCGTAGGCAAGAGAGGGATCTGACTTTCTGGTGAGCTGTCAGTGACCCCTAGCTTTATTCACACTGGGACAGCAGAGAACCAGGTGCCTGGGACCATTCAGTATCACAAAGGATAGCTAAAACATGCACTTGCTCAAGTCGGCCTGATTTCTGTTCCTGGCTCCTTCCTAGAGGGAAGTCTGGATAGACCACATATGGAATTAAGTGTCAAGGATTAAAAGCCAGAGAAATATATTCAAAAGGAGTCTGGGGTCCTGAATTAGGTATTGGTAGCTGAGTTGTAGAATCTAGGAGTTGGATTAAGAGGCAGCAAGAAATGATGGGATAAGAACAGTCCAGATGAACACCAGAGACACTGATCGTTGACTGCTGCTGGCTTTTCAAGTGGCTTGAACTGTGTAGATCTTGAACTGGTCACATGTATTTAAGGAGCAGAAGAAATCCTATGGGCCCTAAACTTTTGGTATGCTATATTCTGGAGTGTGATATGTATAGCATCGTATTGTGTGCCAGACTGTTGAACTTCCATGATAACACCTATAATTATCCATGCAATGAGCCGATGAATAAGCAGTTATTAAATTTCTGCTGAATATGAAGCACTTCCTGAATCCCTGGGAGGATCCATCGCAGGTTCTAGAAGCCATACCGACTCCAAGGCCCATGGCCAGAAGGGTATGGCAGTAGAAACACAACATTAAAGGACATAAGTGGCTGCAAAGTGCATGTAATCACAAATGTACACTATAGAAACACGAACATGTCAAGTATAGGGCATCTTACAGGCAGGGGGAGAGGACTGCAGTCATAATTTGGGAAGAGGAGAGATACGGTGGCTGCTCTATATCCAGACTGACAGTAAGGAGGGAAGCTCTTTGAATAAATATGGGTATCTCACGTGAAAGAGCCATATAAACATTGTTTGAGAACTATCAATAGAATAATACACATAGGGTTATAAAAAATCCAGCAATGCAAAAAAAAAAAAAGTATGCAGAAAAAAAATGGGATTTCTAGTTCCTCCCCAGGAGGTAAGATTTTTTTTTCCTTTTCTTCCAGAACTTCTTTATGTCTACCTGAACATAGAGACATGTTTTCTAATCCAACTAGTAGCATACAGTGTGCACTGTCCTGGACTTTGTTCTTTGCAGTCAACAGTGTATTTTAGAGCTCATTCCATACTAGTTTGTTAGTCTTTGCTTTCTTTCCAAGTGGTAGGGTTTTTCACTGCTTGGGTATATTATCATATATTTAACAAGACTCTCACAAATTGGACATTTAGATTATTTTGCACTCTTTATTTTAAATACTATGTGATCATCATTTTATGTAGATCCAAGAAGGAGCCTGTGTCTGAAATAGTAATGGGTCTAGGAGGCCACAGGGGTGAGAAGTAGGGGGAGGGGTCAAACCCAGCATGTCCGAGTCGCTGCAGAAAGTCTGATGTGCTTCTATCTGTAGGAACACTCCACTTTTATAAGGTCCAGCTGCTTTTCCAAAATGACGGGGACCCAGGAAAGAGGTGGCAATTGTTTTTCTTTTCAGGTTAAATTTTCATAGGTAGGGATTTCAGGAGACTCAAGACCATCCTGTGGTGGGGGTGGCACCACCTGGGAGCCAAAAGAACACACAAGAATTTGATTAATAAATCCTTTCAAGATTTTGGTTCCCTTAGCCCTGTGCTGATGAGACAGAGGAAGGCAAGGCCAGACTCTGGTTGGTCTATGCTGTAGGAGTAGGGTCATATGGAAGGGCCTAGGTATTGAGCCATCAAGCAAGCACTTATGGAGATTCCTTTAATGGTAAATGCTGTGGGCTGGACTCTCTACAAGGGCAATACTAGACATTTTAGTAGAGAAAATACAGGGGATTAAATGACAATAAAATGCCTTGCCTTCAAGAAGCTACTGTTGAATGATCTCAATCTACGCACTAGCTGGAGAAACAAGGGAAACATTTATATGGAGATAATTCAGATAGTAGAGGTTAAGTTCCAAGGTCATTCGATCTCCAGGTTCCAAGGGTTCTGAAACCCTTGTCTGAGAGAGCCCAGGGAAGGCTCTGAAGAACAGATGAAATCTGAGGAGGGGGAAGTTAGGTACCAAGAGCAGCTTGGGAATAGCATAGACCTTCCTTGAGATATTGTGCAAAAGAATGTGTCAGAAAACTAAAGCAGGTTTAAGAATTTTCTTGATCAAGTAGGCAATAGTGGCCTTAGAAGACCCAGAACTAGAATTCCTGGTCCTGAAAATTCGGAAAGACAGGGATAAATTCTTTCAAAATCTTGGCTGAGAAAATGCATTGATTTCCTCTTACACTGCAAGTGACAGTGGGTTTAGGGGATCCAAGTCTCTGGAATGGTGTGAGTGCCATAGAGGAGTGACCAAGTGTGGCAACTCATGGTCATTGGGAAACTCAGCAGGAACTAATGACCTTAAAGTCCATGACCTTCAGTTTAACCCGTTTTGACCTAAACACAAAGGACCAGACCAGAGTGGAAAGCAGCTCTGGGAATGCAGAGAATAGAACAGATAAGGTGAAGTCCTTTGCTGGCTAAGCATTCGATCCCAATCTTGGAAGTCAGGATGAGGCAAGTGATAGGTGAACTGAAATGTATATCTGAGCAAGTGTTTACTGAGCACATTGGATCCATCTTTAAAAGTCCGGTTTAAATTTCTTTTTCATGAAAACTTTCTGCAGTAATGTCCATCACTTCCCCCACTTCTATTTGGAATTCCACACTTTTCCCTTTTCAGCTGATGGAATCAACTCTGCCTGTCTTCTTTTTCTTGTATGTTTTCACACATGTACTTGGGGATAATGATGTCTGTCTCATTCTACTATCTTTCCTTCCCTCATAACCCCCCTTCCCCTCCCTTCCCTTTGCCCTATCTAAAGTTTGTTTATTCCTCCCATGCTTCCCCCATCTCCATTGTGAATGAGCATCCTTATATCAGAGAAGACATTCAGCATTTGTTTTTTTGGGGGGATTGGCTTATTTCACTTAGCATCATATTCTCGAATTCCATCCATTTGCCTGCAAATGCCATGATTTTATTCTCCTTTAATGTTGAGTAATATTCCATTGTGTATATATACCACATTTTCTTTAGGTTGGATCCATAATTTAGCTATTGTAAATTGTGCTGCTATAAACATTGATGTGGCTGTGTCCCTGTAGTATGCTATTTTTAAGTCCTTTGGGTATAAACTGAGGAGTGGAATAGCTGGGTTAAACGGTAGTTCCATTCCCAGTTTTCCAAGGAATTTCCATACTGCTTTCCAGATTGGTTGTACCAATTTGCAGTCCCACCAGTAATGTAAGAGTGTGCCCTTTCCCCCACATATTTTTAGTTGTAGATGGATACAATACCTTTATTTTATTTATTTATTTTTATGTGGTGCTGCTAAGGATCCAATCCAGTTTCTCACATGTGCCAGGCAAGTGCTCTGCCACTGAGCTACAGTCCTGTCAAGGCCAAGGATGGTACTTTAAACATGTCTGAGTCCCCATAGCACTTGGCCAGTTTTAGGCAGACAAAAGAGACTCAATAAATACCTACTGATTGATTCATCAATTACAGATAAGTAGCATAATTAAAAAAAAAACTTTTAGAATTTTGTTTTTAAAACTCTTTTTTTTGGAATGTGTTACAAGGAGGGAATTTGGAGGTGGGGGAAATTTGGAAGCAAAAGCATGAATGGACTCCATGTTTTCAGGAAGGTGAAAATGGAGTGGCTATCCAGATATGGATCAAAGTTAACTGTTAAGGATTATTCAAGATTTTCTTTAAACTCCTTGTGGTTCTCAGTACTGGAACTTCCAACGACTATCTGTGTGACTGTAGGCCAAATGAGCTTCTCTGAATCTCAGTTCCTTTAGCTCTCAAATGTGGATGACAACATATTTCTAGAGGTGTTACAAAGATCAGAAGTGACAGTGTTTGTTCATGTTTTGTAAACTGTACAGATTGATATAAAAGTAATTATCATCATTATTATTTAAAGGTAAATTCTACCTTGAGGGATCTTTTTAACACTCTAATAAAACCTATGTGTTGTAGTTTGTAGTACATATTCTCGACATAGAATTGTTGGCTAATTTCTAGTTGTTTTGGAAAGTCACTGTTTTGGTGGATTAGGCAGATATAATATAATATATATTATAATATTTATTATATTATAATATATATTATTATATATAATAATATAATATAACAAAATATTATAATATAATAAAATCACATCATATAGGACAGTATTTACATTTACATGTGTGTAGACACATATATAAAACAGTGTTTGTGTTTATAGTCTCTCATTCTGGTCAAGGTGAAGAATAATCAACATATCAAGATATTATTAAATTGATTGGAAATGTTCAACCTTTATTCACATAGATGCAAATCAGGAATATTTGTTTAAGCACCTTTGTTGCCTCTGGAATATATCAGAGTGATATCTAATTGGGTAGAATCTAAGCTCCTCAGTCATGGAAATCTATAACTTTTAGTTCAAAAGGTCTGAGAAATAGTTTCTTTCTTTCTTTTTTTGTACTGAGGATTGGGATTGAACTCAGGACACTTCGCCATTCAGCCTCATCCCCAGCCCTTTTTATTTTTATTTTGAGTCACGGTCTCACTAAGTTGCTGAGGCTGGCTTTGAGTTTACAATCCTCCTTCCTCAGTCTCCTGAGTTGCTTATAGGCATATGCTACCACCACTGGCTTTATGGGCTTTGGAAGACAGAAAATTGTTCTCACCTTTTGAGGTTTCTGTACAGAGCAATAGATTGTGGCTGAGTTCTCTTTCTTCTGAGGAATTGGGTTCTTTTCCTACAACAGAACAATGTCAGACTAGTTTTAATTTCCAAAGGAGAGAGAGAGTTTCACCCTCAACCACTGAGGAGAGAGGACATCCCACCAGGTTCTTGGCTCAGATAAAAGGTGGGAGCTGCTGCGGTTCAGTGGATAGGGCTCCTGGTTCTCCAACTCCTCCCTTATTAACGTCCCAAGAATGGAAACTGAGGAGTCAATTTCTGCATTCCAAGGGACCCCAAGGTTTGGTAAACATAGATAGAGCCATGAGTTCCTGTTGGTATATCCCTTGTCCCACACCCAGGCTTGGTCCCCCAGTTTGGAGGAACTCATGATTCTGGATATTAATTAGATGGTCCCGGAAGTGGGTGGAGAAGTGTCACCAGCCATCCGTGGGCTGTATATGGACTGTGTTGCATGTCATAGCCTAGTGAGGGGATAAGTCTGACATTCGGAACTTCCCGTGGCACCCCCACAAGGATAGACCACCTGATGCAGGTGGATGTTCCCCTCAAGCTCTGCCAAAGATCCCACACAGCCCCTGAGATGGGTGTGACCTGCCAAGATTCCAATCAACTTGCTGACTACAAGATATCACAAAGCAAGACTCTGCCCTTGGAACCTTATCCCTGCCGTTGATGTACTCCCTTAAACAAACCACCAGAGCCATCTTTCCTTTGTCTCGTTCCAGAGCACATGTGGACTAGATCTACCAGGGGCTCTGCTTTTGGTAAATATATTTCTGTGTTGTTTTTCACTAAATATTTGAGACTTTAAGTTTTCAGATGGCTTATACCCTCCTTGGCAAGAAGAAGAACCCCCCAATGACATGCTGGCTCTCACCCCCATTAGAGAAGGGTGCATTGATCAGAAGGGCTCACCTGCAGATTAAGGACCACTTGTGTATACTCCAAATTCTCTCCGACCACAGATCCAACTGCTCTGTCATCTAGAATGACAAGCTCTGCTTGCCCCTCAGTGGTCAAGTCTTGTCCGATGTCTTTCTGAGTGACCAAGTCATTCACCTCATCTTTTCCATTGACAGAATTGTGCATCTGGGTCCTCTCCTCATCCTCTTCAGTCGTGATGCTGCTATTGGAGCTGGTGTCTGAGGGGGGCCTAGACCAAGCCCTGGCAGTTTTCGGGAGAGGGTCCAGCTTCTCATATCCTTGGGAGATCACGGTGTATATGGTATGGCCAGCCGTGGATTCTGGAGCATGTAAGCGCACCAACCTCTACTGTTCTTTTGCTTCAAGGACTCAACCTGCTTTGCCCCGATGAGGCTGAATGAACTGAAGACTTTTTTCTATCTTCATTTAGGTTTTTCTCCCCTTCTCATTCCTTTCAAGCACTCATTTATTGATTTATCTGACACCCATTCATCCAGTATGACATACGATGTATTCAGCAATTCTTATCAGAGCTTTCTTAGTTGGATAAACCACATCCCCACAAGCAGTGGGAGACACTAAGATAAACTACAACTGGTTCTGGAGGAGTCCACTATCTAGTTGTGGTGGTCAGATCCACACATAAGTCAGTTAGTGTAGGGCCAGCTCTGACATGTGTCACATGGAAAGGAGGAAAGTGCAGAAGGGAGAGGTGATGATTTGTGGTTAGGAGAACCATGAGGCACTCTCTTGAAGTGGTAGAATAGAGTTTGCCTTGAAGTAGGGGCAGGATTTTGCTGAGTGAGAGGGAATTCTTGATAGAGGTAATAATATGATTACAGGAGGTATAAATCTTAGAGAACCCTTACTTTTGGAAAGGGATGATATTCAAAATACTTAATGAATTCAATGGCCTGGGCAGAGTACAATCAGAATGGGCACCTGCTCTGAAAAATTAGCATGTCACATCCAGTGAATATCAGCCTTGCCTCTGGATACACTGAATAGCCCATTTGACCTGAGTATGGGGTAAACATGGTTCACATTTACTAAATGTCGATTTTGTATCAGGCACTGTTCTAAATGCTTTTTATGAGTAAGCTTATCTAAAACTCCATGAGGCACAGACAAGAGCTACGCTTATTTGTTATTTGCAGATGAGAAAAATGGAGCACATAAAGTTTAAGTGTGGGCCCAAGTAAGTGAATGCAAGTAGCTTGGTCTCTGATGTTCTTAACCACTACTCAATACTGCCCCCTAGGGGTTTTGTATAGGAAAAAATAGATAAAGAATGGCTTGTCCCAATACTTAGCAATAACAATGATTACTATCTATAGAGTGACCAACGAGGGCATCACTCCACTTGATTCACAAAGCAACTCTGGGAGGTAAATGCCTCCATTTCACAAGGTAAAGAAACTGAACTTCCCGAGATCACATTGCTGATAAGGAAGAGAGGTAGAGTATAAATACTGGATTCTCTGACCTCAGAACCCATAAACCTGACCACTAGGTTATGTTGCCTTTTAAACAACTGACAAAGGCCATAAGGAGTCGTGGGTGGTTTTAGAGTAGGTCAGAGTTGAGCTTTGGAAAGTGGTGAGTAAAAAGTATAGAGAGGAGGGGCTGGGTGCAGTGGCACACTCCTGTAATCCCAGCGGCTCAGGAGGCTGAGGCAGGAGGATTGCAAGCTCAAAGCCAACTTCAGCAATTTAGTGAGGCCCTGAGCAATTCAGCAAGACCCTGTCTTGAAATGAAAAATTTAAAAAGGACTAGAGAGCGAAATTATAGCATTTGTCAGTAAATGGATGGAGTTGGAGAATATCATGCTAAGTAAAATAAGCAAAACCCATAAAACCAAAGGCCGAATGTTTTCTCTAATATGTGGATGCTAATTCACAATAAGGTGGAGGGCACTAGGGAAGAATAACATTACCTTAGATTAGGTAGAGGAAAGTGATGGATGGGGAGGGAGGGGTGTGGGGATAGGAAAGATAGTAGAATGAAACAGACATTGTTACTGTATGTATATATGTGACTACATGACCAATATGACTACAACATGTACACTCAGGAAAATGAGAAATTATATCCCATCTGTGTATAATATATCAAAGTGCATAAATGCATTCTACTGTCCTGTATAACTAATTAAAACAAATAAAAAATTAATTTTAAAAAAGGACTAGGGATATGGCTCAGTGGTTAAGCACCCTGGGTTCAATTATATATATATATATATCCTGTAAATACATTAAGAGCATCTTAATGGATTTTGATATACATCATGCTTAGCAGTGATATCTGTGGGAGACAGACCTGGAAACTGAGGGTTGAGATTTGGAAAGGTATTTACTTTTACCAGTATACCATGTGAATATATGACTTTTAAATTAAAAAAAAAACCTTTTCAACCAAATAAAAAATTGGTGACAGTATAAACTAAGGCAGTGGCAGTAACTGTACAGAATTAGACCTTGGAGAGAGGGGAGAGACTGGAGAAGCAAGGGTTCTTGGGGGTTGAAGAGAGGTGCTGGGGGAGGGGGGAGGTCAGGAATGATGGAGCTGTTCTCAATCCATCGTTACTTCTACTCTTATGCAGAATTCAAGGAGGGGGGCCCAGACTGGGTGGAGGGATGAGGGTTCTGTCCTGCCAGATGTGAGGAGGGAGCCAGTGGGAAGATCTATGGTCTAACCTCATTGGCATTTCTTGACCCCATTGATTTGGTTACACTTCCTATCAGGAAAGTCTGCCATTGTCTGATGACTTGAGCCCCCAGCCTCCTGTCTGTCTTCTGATTGCATCTCCTTGGGGATACCCACCACGAAGACAAAAGCAGGGGGTGATCGAGTGGGCAGATTTGGGGGGTTCCTTAGTACTCTAGAGCTCTGGAGTTCAAAGTGGAAATTTAGGACATTGTTATTCCATCTGTCCTTTGTTTCTCTACCCCAAGAGTGGAGAAAATAACTCCATCCTCAAGGTAGCCCACATTCAAGTGATGCCCGTCAATGCTCAAAGAACCCGAGAGATCCCAGAGTGACCCTCCTAGCTCCAGTGACCGTTTCAAAGGGGTCCATCTTGATTGAGGTTTTTGATTCCAAACCACCCACCTTTAGTTTGTCCCTTCTTAAATTTCAGTGGGCATATGAATCACCTGTGGATCCTGCTAAGATGCAGACTTGTTTTCTGTATTCTGGGGTCAGTGCCCAAGACTCGGACAAGCTAACAAACTCCTGGGTGGTGCTCATGTTGCCAGATGGCAGGCCACACTCTCAGCAGCCAGGCTTTGGAGCTTCTATCTCAATCCGGGGCCCCAAAGCCTATGCCATTGATATTACCTGGTGGGTCAGATGGGGCCTCAGCGTGGCTGGAACTGGAGGCTGGCACGGAATCTGGGAAACCAAGTTAAAGAAGGTTATCAAGATGGCTGTGTGGAGAGAGATATCTTTGATTCTGTGAGAGTCAATGGAGAGGGGAGAGACTTCTGGGGACACAGACATGGAAGAAACTTTAAGGAAGTGGGTGAACCCTGACATGAGCACAAAACCATGGCAAGAGTTGACCAGAGTTTAGGCTCATCTTTGGCTGAGAGGAAAGCTGTGGAATTTCCTGCCCTCCTTCTGAAAAAAGGAGAGATCTAACTCCTCTCTCGTAGCCACTAATAGTAGTTTGCCTGCTCAGAGTAATTCTTTCAGAGGCCTCTCTGTTCTTTTCTGGAAACTCCTTCATTTCTACTTTAATACTAAGATTCTAGAGGGAACTGGCAACTCTAATAGTACATCCCCTCGACTATGGTGATTGGCCCACGGAGCAATCACATGACCTTAGCCTGGCCAATCAGAAATATTTCTGACATTTTTCAAATTGGAACTTTTCTGTGGTGTCCGTTGTTAGTATGTGCGAGTCTGGAAACACCAGTTGTTGTGTTGTGGTAAATCTCTGCCCCTCACCTCCACCTTTGCCCTTGGGCTGTCTGTAGTAGGAGATCAAAAAGAAAAACAGAGATGAGAAATGAAGAGCTCGGGTGACTTTTGAGCCTCTGGTAACATTTGTACATTAAGGCCAACTCCATCTTCCTCTTCTCCACAGATTGATTATGTGAGTCCTGGAACAATAAGTCATGTTCCCTGCCCCTCCCCACATCCCTTTTAAAGTCTAAGCTCATGTTAGTTGGGTTTCAATTATCCTTAACTGAGCGTCTCTACTGAAACTCATCCCCATATCACTTGGAGAAGCAAGGTCTTGGGATGGAAGGGATAAAAAAGGATTGTATGAGGACAGAGGGGCCTTCAAAGGTCCTAGGGAAATGGACTCATGTTGGTGGATGCCATTAATCTCAGAAACCTACACGATCCTTTTTTCTTCCAAATGTACCAGCTGGAGATGCCCAAGATCAGAAGGATGATAACCGGGGAGAGCCAAATCCAAAAATGTCTTTTTCTCTTAGACCCTTTGAAGAGGAAATGAGTGATATTAGTAAAAATAATGACAAGAGAGATCAGAGCAAAACACAGACAGAACAGGTAAGTGGCCATCTTACCTAACTCTTTCACTCCCTTGACATTGCCTAAAATGATTCTTTTCATTCACTTGTTCTATAACCATTTTTTTAAAAGTAAGCATTGTTCTAGGTCAGAGATGACAGCAGTACATAAGGCAGATATGCTACCTTGGTAGAAAGATTTATGGCTTGCCCAGCGTCACAGTTTGAAGTATCTGGCCTGGGATTTGAAGGCAGGCTGTCTGTCTAAGAGCTTCCTCCAAGTTCAAGGCCGAAAGAGTCCAGGTTCCTACAGAGCGGAACTCTAGGTTTGTCTGCCAGATATAGCCTGACCCCGTCTCCTGGGATCCTGTGTGGATCTTACCTTTTTTCTGCTTTCCTCTAGGGAACAGGAGAGGACAGAGAGCTCAGAGTTCCAACCTGCCTTTACTGTGTGACCTTGCTCAAGTACCTTATCCTTTCTGAGTCTCCGTTTCTTTGTCTACATACTGGGGAATAATAAGAATACCTGTTTTCTTTGATTCTTGAAAAGATTTTGCAAAATCTCAGAGATCGAGGATAGGGCCTGGTATTTGATAAGACTTACCAGGGTTTCCTTTCTAGTTCCACTCACACAGCCTGTGTTCCTTTATTCTTCCTACACCAGTCAGTTTCCCATCAATCTTGGAACTTTTTGCTGTCCAATAGGGTAGACATAAGCCAAATATAAGCCTTTGAAATGTGGCTAGTGTGACTGAGAAGCTTTTGCTTATTTAATTTTAATTAATTTAAATTTAAATATTAAAATGGTTACTCAATTCCTTCTTTTTTTAAAATTTTTTTTTAATTGTAGATGAACCCAATATCTTTACTTATTTTTTTTTTTAAATGTGGTGCTGAGGATTGAACCCAGTGCCTCACACATGTGAGGCAAGTGTTCTACCACTGAGCTACAATCCCAGCCCTCAATTCCTTCCTGAAAAACTGATAAGTTTATTTGGGAAAATTGGCATATGAAAGGTTATTTCTTCAACTGTAAATCTTTTGAAATCTGAAAACAGATCCAATACTTCTGCTGAAAACTCAGCACCAGTATATATGCATACTGGCTTAAAAAAAAAAGACAAAGTAAAAATACAGTAAATTGTCTTGTAAATAATTCCTGTCTTGAATAAACATGAAATGATTATATTTGATATTTGGGTTTGGGGTTAAGTAAAAAACATTATTAAAATTTTTTTTTGCTTCTTCTAATGTGGTTATTAGAATATTAAAAATTACATACATTTCTATCAAAATGTGCTGCTCTCGAGGACTCTCACCCTCATTCCCTCACTGATTTTCATAAAGAACCACTTGGAATACAGACTCTCTTGGAACTGAGGCCCCAGTCCCTGTGACCTGAGTAAACAGGAAGAGCAACCTGAACAGATGTCCCCAGACAGAAACTGGCAGGAGCTGTTGCTGACGGGGTTTCTGGCGGTGCATGTGAGGTTGGGGTATTTTTCACCACTTCTCCAGGAGACATTGAGGTGCGAGCTTCCTTGGGACAGAATAGCTCCCTTCTGCATGGGGCTCCATGTGTAGGTCACATTGTTACCACCATCCTCCACTGAGCAGGTCAGGCTGAGCCTGCAGATGTCATCTTCAGTGTGCATGAGGCTCCAGGTGATGTTAGGCTTCTTCAGCCTCCCTGTGCGGGGAGAAAGGCAGAGCCATGAGGAGGGAGGCCTACAGCTTCGTTCATTCAAAACCTATTCATGAAGTTGTGTGTTGACCCTGTGCAGACAGTGCCCCCAGGAGTCACAAGTATTTAGGAGCATTCCTAACCACCTAATCATAAGCACATCATTTCCCTTCTGTGGCCCTTGATGGTCAGGTGTGAAATAAGGCAATTAATAAAAGGGGGAAAAAGAAAGAAACCATCTTATTCCATACACTATACCTGTGGAAAGTGAGCAAACCAATCAACACAAATAAGTCAATGCTTCCACTCACTTTGAAGGCCCGTTAAAGGTTCATTTGAAGTTCTATCATGTAATTTGTCTGCTTACGTGAGAGAAGGGATATAGAGAGGTGAGCACAGCACCTAATTCGGAACAAGTGCTCAATAAACATTAGCACATTTAAAATGTTTCTTTTAAATATTATTTAAAGCTGGGTGTGGTGACATATGCCTGTAATCTCAGGGACTTGGGAGGCTGAGGCAGGAGGATCACAAGTTTGAGACCAGCCTCAGCAATTTAGTAAGACCCTCAACAACTTAGGGAGACCCTGTCAGACTGGGGATGTAGCCCTGTGGTAAAACATGCCCAAAAGAAAAAAAGTGAAGGGGCTGGGGATGTGGCTCAAGTGGTAGCGTGCTCGCCTGGCATGTGTGCAACCAGGGTTCGATCCTCAGCACCGCAGACAAAACAAAGATGTTGTGTCCGCCGAAAAAAAACTAAAAAATAAATATTAAAATATTCTCTCTCTCTCTTTCTTTTAAAAAAAGTGAAAATGTTATTTTAAAAAGAAATTTTATTAACTAAAGATTAAATTAAATATATTTTAAAATAAAGTTATTTTTAAAAAAAATAGGTTGATGCAGTTCTTAGTCTATTTTTTATATTTAATCTTGCTGGTTCTTTTATCATTTGAGTATATGCAATGAACATGGACTTGACCAACTTGTTGCATATTTTAACAGGACAATGGATAGATGATGATTCTTTTCATGGGTACCTAGACACTAGTAAACTCAGTGGGGGGCTATGTCGACCATATCTGAATGGTACAGAAGAGTTAACCCATGCAAAATGTCACACTGAGCTCCAATGAGGTCCAGGGCCAAGGGGGAAGAATGTGCCATCTGTCTTTCCCACTCGGTGGGGCTCTTGGCCCATCTTCTGGAGCACACAGTGTCTTGGACATCAAGGGTTTCTCCACAGACTCCTCTAATTCTGTCCCAGTCAGTTCTACCCTGATTCAAAATGATAATGGTTCACAAAAGTGCAGGTTCCTGGTGCCATCTGAGAACCAATGAAAGAGGACAAGGCCGATAATGAAAGCTGGGTGGTCGAGGGCTAATGTGAAGAGCAAGGGGCACCTTGATAGGTAGGTTTTGTTCTGCTGCTGGCTGTAATTTCTCCTCTTGTGAATTCACTGGTGTGAACTGAATAGCTGTCCTACTAGTTGGAGGCATTTTGGTACAAAGAGAGGCCTAAGAGAAAGGGTGGGGGGGGCATCAGAGGAGAAACTTCTCAGGGAGAGAAGTTTCACGTGATGGGCGCTCTACCCAGAGACTCACGGTAGACGAGCAGGATGACGTGTTTCATGCTGGTGACTCTGGAGGCCTTTGAGCACACATAGGCATGGTAGGGGCCAGCATCCTTCGTCTTGAGCTGGCTGATCTTCAGGGAGTAGTCTTGGCTGGAGACCCATACCCTGCTCTCATCAGAACCTTTGGGTGTAACGAGTGGCTCTGCCGTTGCTGATCCTTTCCACTCTTTGCTGATAAGAGATGTGTTAAACATCCAGACAATGTTCTCTGTGTCTTGATTGGCTGGGAGGGCCAGGGGCAGGGTGACTGGCTCTCCCAGCATCCCTACCACTGTCTCCTCCATTGTGTTTCCTTTGGAGGTTCCTAGAATTGCAGTCAGAGAAGAGATATTGCGGCTTTAGCCACTTTCCCCACCTTCCTTGACCCCCAGCCATCCTGAAGGGGCCTGGGAGTCCTCCTCCTCTACCTCTTTCCCCCGGCTCCTCCTGTGATGTGGCATCCCGGCTGCTTCCCCATAACCACGTGTCTGGCCTGGCTCTGCCCATTGCATACTTGACTTGTCTAGTCCTCTTGGCCCTTCTGAGGAGACCACAGGGGACTCCTCCACTCAAGCCAAGACCCATCTGGACCCCTTCGTGTACACTGTCTTCTCCCTTGCTCTACTCTTAAGAGTTTCACAGTGTCCTGAGTGTTCCCAAGTCCTGGTAGCCTATTTGAGGCTCTTGAGAGTGGACAACAGAGTTTTGGGGGCCTGTCTTCTTCTTTCTCTGTTCCATCTGAGTTCTCCAGGAACTCCGAGGTTTAGATCCCACAGTGGCTAGACTGTTTCTGGAACTCCCTGAAAGGCTTAAGTGGAGCTGTTACCTGCACAGAACTGCCAGGCATGCAGAGGGCGGGAGCTGCTCTGGCTGACTGGATTCCGGGCTGTGCAGGTGTATGACAGGCCTGGATCACAGGGCTTTGGGGAGACAGTGAGGATAGAGCCGCTATAGGATTCAGAAGTACTTGAGGTCCAGCTGAATTGGACACCATTTTCTGCACCATTCACAAAGCACATCAGGGTGATGTTACAGAAAGCATTCTCAGACACAGTTATGGACTTCAGGGTGACTTGAGGCTCCTGCACGCATTCTGCAAGGACAATCACATTGAGAGGACACTCAGATCCCTTCCTTAGCAGGAAAGGACTGTCAGAAGAAGCTGGGGGCAGCAGGGAGGCTGACGTTACTTGTTCCAGGGAAGTGTTTTCTGCAGCTTAGGTTGGGTGTTTCTCTTCTGTGCCTCCATGATATCCTCTACAGGTGTTATCGTCATGGCTTAAGATGAATAGTAGCCTATTCACGAATTGTAGCCTATTTATATATATTATTTTTTCTCTCTCCCCTAACCGTATGCAGGCTCCTTTAGGACAGGGACCATGCCTGCATCTGAATATCCAACACCCAGCATGGTCCTTGGAAAATGCTCATGAATGTTTGTTGAATCAATGGATGAATGGCCCAGCCCCAAACCCTAGGGAGAGGGGGGCTTAATCTCTAGAATCTGAGTTTTCCATGCCTTTTGGTCTTAATTTAGGGCCTGCTGTGTTTCTAGACCTTCTTTCTGATCGTCTCTTTCCCATTTATTCCTTCTCCTCTGTTCAACCCATGTGTACATATATGTGTATATGTGTCTGTGCGTACATGTGCATGTGTGTATATTCTATTTCTTTTTCTTTGAACAGGTAATACATGCACAAAATTGAAAAGATAGAAAATGGTAAATAATGAAAGAAAAGTAAGTTCTTTTTTGCCTTCATTCACCTATTTCTTCTCAAGAATTTCTGTCCCCGGAAGCAGTTACTGTTAGTTTCTTGTTGATCTCTACAGAGAATATAAATATACACACAATATATATATAATGTAATATATTGTATCATTTCACATTATAAATACTATATATAATGCATATTGTAAATACTATATTATAAATACTATATATAATGCATATTGTATAATACATACACATAAATATAATATAGTAGTCTTGTATAATATATATTTATACATAATGTATACAAATATATATTTATATCTATAATATATATTTATATTATATATGCCTATATATAATAGTGTAATGTAACACTCTCTGAAACCTTTTAAAAAATTAAAAATAAGCTGGGTGCAGTGGCACTTTCTTGTAATCCCAGCTACCTAGGCTGAGGCAGGAGGATTGCAAGTTGGAAGCCAG